TATTTGCTTGTACCATATTCCAACATAGCGATTCAATGAATTGGTTGGGCTAAAGAATCCCAACTCAAAGATTCCACCAGAAGAAACAATGGTTTCACCATCTTTAAGGAACTGCGTGGAGGTAATGCTATCCCGAGCAAAACAAATCTTCTGAACTGAAACTAAGAGAATTAAAGCAATGAACAATGGACCATCATTTCCCATTGACCTAAGTTTTTTGTTTTTTTCCTTATGTTTGGAAACACTTGTATTCTAATAGTGTTGTACCTATCTTCATGTTCCTTACTTTTCTTCAGGCTATATAATCTATTTTGTATTTTCTTTTAATAGGTAGATTTAGGAAAATAATACACGGATTCCAAGAGTAAAATTTCACAATATGTCCTATTTTATTAATAGAAGAGAAAAAAAAAAAAATTGGCTTATTTTATCTGGATGAATTAGAATACGCAACGAAAGTAAGAAGTAAAACAAAAAAAATGAACTGTAAACTAGAGGTATACAGGAAAATGTTATTTGGATCCTTTGATTCTACTCCCAATTTCTGTTTCTTCACTTAAACTTTTGATGTAGGCGTTTTCTTTGAAATTCACAAAAAAAAGATAACTTATCAGTTATCAATAATTACCAAATCAGAAAGTAAAAGTGAGAAATTATATATTGTAAATAAGTCAAATATGAAATAACTGCATGTAATCAATCAATGATTATGAAATGAAGTTCCTTGTGCGCAATGAGCACATGTCTAGTCTCTGTAGTTCATGTTCAGTTGAGTGACCATGATTTACATCCTCCCAAATGCTCTCTCTGGTCGGGGTACGGGAGCCCTTAGGGTTGGGGTTCAACCTTTTGGAAGAATGATTATAAAATGAAATAAATTCAAATATGTATCTGATCTTTGACTTAAACGATGGGACATTTGTCCCTACTTCAACTGTTCAACAGACACATTGACTTTTTTAAAAAAATAAATTACTCCATTAAATAGAATAAAAACATTGTTTTCTTTCGAGGGGTTGGGGGTTGGGGGGCGGATGAAGACAGTCTTATATTTGTATTTTGTGTTTTATGCATTTATATTTGAATTTTGTGTTTTATGCATTTATATTTGAATTTAATTTCATATATATATATATATATATATATATATATATATATATATATATATATATATATATATAACTTAATTTCAATTTTAAAATTATAATTGATAATTGATTGGGTATATGTAAATCCCCTTAATTTGACCCAACAAAGATAAAGTAAAGAAGATTGAATTGAAAAATGCAGCATGGAGCACTAATTGCCTGACATTATTATTTAATTTATGTGAAAGAGACCCATTCCCTGAAGAGATGAGGCGCAGCCGTTGGACTTCAACCTTAGATCTACAAGCTAAGGACGGGTACACCGCAGCCGTTGCTTGTAATTGTCATATCCATTCAATATACAAATAATATACTTTTAATATATTAGTAATGTACATTATATTTAGAGAAAGTACATTATTTGAATACTAAAAGTACATTATTTTATATAATTATATTCAGTATACAAATAATATATTTTTAGTATATTAAAAATGTACCTTTTTATTATAATCCACACAATAATTTACCTCCAACTTGTCTATAAGTCATTCTTTATACCATTACAACCGTAGACTAGTTAACTTAAATAATACGGAGTATTAGTTAATCTCATTAGGGCACACACCGAACCTACTTTCTCATAGATTAAAGAAAAAATTACACTACCTTGTATTCTGGGGTATCCCCCTTCCCTTAAAATCTAAAAAGAAAAAATGACACTTTTATTTTCTAAAATTGTATGCTTATAATGTTTCTTCAGTTGAATTATTCATGTATCTACACTAGTTCTCAACTATTTTAAAGGTGGTGATTTTCCATTTTTCTATAAAAATAGACATTTTTATCCATAAAAATAATGACAAAATAAATATTTTTCTCTCCAACAAATTATTGCTTTTATGTTGAAATCATAATAAATGTAAAAAGTGCATACAACATTTGTAAATATTATAATTATAATTTTAAGTTAGTAAAGACTTATACACAAACAATTCGTTAATGTTAAATTAACATTAATAAATTATTTGTGTTTAAGCCTTATTATGTTACGAGTATTAGTTTAAAATTATAATTATAATATTTGCTAATAGTGTCTATTCTTTTTCGTATTTATTTTTATTCTCACATATAAACAATAATTTGTTGGAGAATAAAAATAAATGATATACTTATTTTGCCCTTATTTTTAAAGATAAATATATCCATTTAATAAATAGGAGGAAAATTACTATTTTTAAAACAATTGAAGGGTTAATATGAATATATGAACAATTTAGGGGAAAAACGCTATAAACATAATTCAATGGAAAAGTACAATTTTCTATAGATTTAATTTAAAGTGTATAATAATAAGTGGAAGCTCAATCTCAAAATATTTTCCTTTATGCATGGATTTTATGAATTTGTCTTGTGGCAATGTTAAGTATATTTAGTACGGAGTATATAGATAGAGGCGGATAGTTGGCGTTTATATAGTAATGAATATTTAGGGTGTGTTTGGTTGATGAGTTTTGCCCATAGAAATGAGTATAAAAGTGATTGTTATTGTTTAGTTGATAAGTTGTTAGAACACTATTATGGGTTTCGAATATTCCATGAATTGAAAAACTCATACCCAAATAAAATAAGGGTTTCATTCCCTTATTCGTTCTCAAGCACTACTATTAAGGTGTGTTTGGTTGGTGGGTTTTGCCCATAGGAATGGGTATGAAAGTGATTGTTGTTGTTTGGTTGATAGGTTTTTAGAACACTACTATGAGTTTCGAATACCCCATCAATTGAAAAACTCATACCCAAATACAATAATGGTCCCATTCTCTTATTCATTCTCAAGCACTACTATTAGTAACCATTCCCATTCCAATCTACTACCAAACATGTTAAATACTTTCACCAAAACCCATTACCATTATCAAGTATTTAATACCCATCCCGATTCCGATTCCTATGTGCGAACCAAACACACCCTTAGTAATCATTCTCATTCCACCCTACTACCAAACATGTTAAATACTTTCATCAAAACCTATTACCATTACCAAATATTTGATACCCATCCCGATTCCGATTCCCATGTGCGAACCAAACACACCCTAAAGTTTCAAACATGACTACCAGGAACTTAAATAATATTTTGGTATTGCAAAGTAAAAATATTATTTTAAGTTGATAAAAATTTTATTATTTGTTGATCAAGAATATTGGTTATCTGGCTATTTATTAAGAAAAATTAATCTTTTCTATTTTGATTCACAATTCAGAAGATGAGTTTTTTTTTTTTTTTGATAGATTGAGTTTTAATATCTGATACTGTGGAAAAGGTTACAGTAAAGTTTGGCGAATCGCTCGATTTTCTCAAATAGTGGACTTTGAGTTTGGAAATAGGTAGATGTTCCCAAATGGTAGATCTTGAGATATCGCTAAATATTTCTAAATGGTAGACTTTTGGAGTATCAGAATATATTTCTAAACGATAGACCTTTCGAGGGGACAAGTAGGTAACCACTAACCAGTAAGTAAATATATCTCTACAATGAAAGGTTCAAATGGTAAAATCTATTTATCCAATGCAAGAATTGTATGTTTGTTTAATACTATTGTGCTGTTGTTCTAATTCTTGAATTATCAATTTTTATTCATGTGGGGTTATTGAAAAAAAATTGTAATATATGTCCTCATTTATAAGTCAATTATAAGGCACCAGGACCGGATGGGATGAACCCTGGGTTTTATCAGCACTTCTGGGATGTGGTGGGTACTGATATTTCGGCTTATATTGTTAACTGTCTCAATACTAATTCGTTTCCGAGTAAATTGAATGAGACAAATATTATATTGATTCCGAAGAAGAAAACCTCAGAGATGATTTCTGATTATAGACCGATTGCATTAAGTAATGTGGTGTACAGAATTATGGCCAAAGTTATTACAGCTAGAATGAAGCCGATGATGAAAGTGTCATATCTGAGTCACAAAGTGCATTCATAGCTGGGAGATTGATTACAGATAATATATTGATAGCTGCAGAAGTAGGTCATTACTTGAACAGGAAACAATGTGGACTCATGGGTTGGGGAGCTTTAAAGCTGGACATGGCTAAAGCCTACGATCGTATGGAATGGTCCTTTTTACAAAGAATGTTGATGGCCTTGGGGTTTGATGGAAGATGGGTGGATTTACTGATGATGTGTGTAACCACAGTATCTTATAATGTACTAGTAAATGGGGCACAGAGTGAACAGATAATCCCAACTCGTGGTTTGAGACAAGGTGATCCCCTTTCACCATATTTATTCATTATTTGTGCTGAAGGGCTCTCACTACTATTACAGCAGGCGCAGGCGAAAGGAGAAATACATGGTTGTAGGGTGGCAAGAGGTGCGCCTTCTATTACCCATCTTTTCTTTGCCGATGATAGTTTACTTTTTTTTCAAGGCAAATGTGCAAGAGGCAGAAATAATTAAGCGATGTTTATCAGAATATGAGAAGATGTCTGGACAGGCAGTCAATTATCATAAGTCAAATATTTGTTACAGTAAGAATACACGTAGAGAAATAAGGGATGAGGTTGCCAATATTTTGGGGGTGGTGCAGGCTCAGAATTTTGGGAAGTATTTAGGACTTCCATCGTTTGTGGGCAGGAATAGGAGAGCAGCATTTTCTTATATTGAGGATAAAATAAGACAGAGGATCAGCTCATGGAATAAGAAATTGATATCACAAGCAGGAAAGGAAATTTTATTGAAAAGTGTGGCCCAGTCAATGCCTACCTTTTCAATGAGTGTTTTTTTACTGCCTATGACCTTATGCACCGCCATTGAGCGAACCATGAATCGATATTGGTGGAAATCCAAGAATGACCAGGGTATACATTGGAAGGCATGGGATAGACTATGTATTCCAAAGAAGTATGGAGGTTTGGGATTCAAGGAATTACATGCCTTTAATCTTGCTATGCTTGGGAAGCAAGGGTGGCATTTTCTGACACAGCCGAAATCTTTAGTGTCAAGAATTTATAAGGCTAGGTACTATCCCACTAATTCCTTCTATGATGCATGTTTGGGTAATAACCCGAGTTTTTGCTGGCGGAGTATTTTGGCGGCTCAAGAGTTAATTTGTGGGGGTGTGAGAAGGAGAATTGGGAATGGTGAAACAACGTTGATTTGGGACCACCCATGGTTACATGATGAAAACATCTCAAGAATACAAACAGAGAAACCACCCCAATTGGCACAGGCTAAGGTGATGGGTTTAATGGATCAACAAACTGGAACCTGGGATCCGGATATTCTAACAGATATTTTCATACCGGAGGATGTGGAACGAATTAAAAAAATGCCTGTATCACCTGGGTATGATGATTTGTGGTACTGGTATGGAGATCCAAATGGTGAATATTCTGTCAAGAATGGGTATAGGAAACTAGTGGGCAATTACTCCCAACCACTAGGGACCTTTGATAAATGGAAGGTTTTATGGAAACTCAAAATCCCACCAAAGTGGAAAACATTTATATGGAGAGCTCTAAATGATATTTTACCCACAACTAACAATCTACTTATAAAGAGAGTGGATATTGATCCAACATGTACTATGTGTGGGGCTTCACATGAAGATATTGTGCATTCTTTGATCACATGTGGCTATACAACAAACATTTGGACACAATCTCACCTTCCAATCCCCAATAGTGTCACAAATGTTTTCAGTGATTGGTTTAATGATTTGATGAATGTTTTAGATGATAATGAGATTATTCCAACACACAAGATGAGACTTTACCACCGTGGAGCGGCTTTTTGCAAAAAGATGAGGGGGAAACTCAGTAAGACCGATCAGTTCCATAATATAGCTTGCCCGGACCTGGCTTTCAGTGTTTGGTCGGGCCGGCCGTAATGAATGATCGTTGTTCGGGAACAAAACAATAAGACTTTAGGTTTCGCTATCGCTCTTCGATCCTTCGCTATCGCAAGAATCTAGCGATCGAAGAGCGATGGCTCCTCCGAAGAGCGGACTTCTTTCCAACAAACAGAGGAAGTTTCGATTCGAACAGAGAGATATGTCGGAATTAGCTTAGTCATAAAGGAACTAAAGGAAAGCCTTTTGACAACCTTACTAATAGAAAGGGGATGCGCTCGCTCAAGCATGCGAAGAAAGCTCTTCGAGCTTCTCTTATATTATATAATATTATAGAAAGGTTTGTAGAAAAGGGCTTCTTCAAATATCCCATGAAGTAGGGGCTTCAAAGAAAGCTTGTAGTTTAGGGGTGCGCAGGTTTAAGAGGCTTTATGTTTTATCCAGGAGGAACTAGCCTAAGTGAAAAAACTTATATAAACTATGGCAGGAGTCTAGACTCCTCGGGGACTCACGCCTCTGTTCCCTACAAGCGAGTCATCCAAGCCATAGAAAATAAGGATTTGTATTTAGATTGAATCTCGTGTCAGAGAATGAGTTCAGGAAACCTAATTTCTCAATAACCACTTTATAAACGGCTCCACACCCTTACAAGAACCCATCCCACCCTGCGTCGGATGAAGGGGGAATAAGGGTATTAAGAAAAGGGATCTCCAGTTTTTGTTGGTTGTTGACCAACGGAAAGCATGGGAGAAAGATGCACAAAGGAAACTGGAAAGAACTCATTTCTCAGGAGCAATATCAACTACCTAGACCGACCTGCTAAAAGAATTCCATAAACACCTAGCGAAGATATATCATCCCCAAGTACCCAATACTCTAGAAGAACTACGAACACAAAAAAATATGTATATAAAAAAAAAGAATAAATCACCCTAAAGATCACTGGCTAGTATACAGGCGGTAAAAAAGCTTTATGAGGTAAGCAACTCCGGTCCGTGTGGTGGGCCCATGATATACTCCTAGTCTCAAAAGGTTTGTTGATTTCATATTAGCGTATATATTATTTACTTCCTCGATCATCTCCCGGGACAGATTCATCCACACTCAAAGGAGGACCACAAGCTCGGGGCTCGACGAAACAGAAAGTATCAGCATTAAGAAACTTCTTGGGGTTAGCAGTGAAAGAAAGAGCCGAAATGGGATAGTTCATCAAGCCACTAATATCTCGGGAGTTTGCTCTCCGATGAAACCCCTTCCGCTTGCTAAGCTCAAGAAAGACACTTCCCAACTCAACCCACTCCCACTCGACTCGAGGCGTCAGCAAAACACTACCGTCTGTTCCAAAAACAAAAGCCCCTTAGCGCCCCGGGACGGCGCGAGAAAGGAAGTCTCACCTGATTTCCTCGGAAAGAGAGTCGACAAGCGAGTACGACCGAGATATCTTTTTTTTATTGTTCCCAGGGATTTTTTGGGGAATCTGCTCCCATGCTGCAAACAGTAAAATCTAGGAATCCATAAAAACTTAGGATCCGACACCATGATAAAATACTACCCTCATGATTAGACCATGTCCCTGAGATTTGATAAAAGAAAGGTGAATTAGCGGCCGGTCTTTCTCAATAGGCCGATCCATCCGACCTTTGGTGGCCCGGTCTCTGAGCGTGATTTTTCTCGTTGCTGGTCATATGTATAGAACCAAATTCGGGATTGGGCACAGTATGAAAGATCTTTTAGATGCACATATTCCTCCGGGAGGACAACTAGGTCGTGGGCATAAGGGTCTTTATGACACAATCAATAATTCGCTTCATTTGAAATGAGGCGGCAGGATCCGTCATCTTGGCAGGAATTCCTTTAAAATTGGGAACCTACGGGTTTTTAAGAACCCAGCTCACGTACCGCTTTAATGGGCGAACAGCCCAACCCTTGGAACATACTACAGCCCCAGGTGGCGAAGAGCCGACATCGAGGTGCCAAACCTTCCCGTCGATGTGAGCTCTTGGGGAAGTGGCAAAATACGGGGATGACTTGTGGCTAAGGGTGAAAGGCCAACCAAGATCGGATATAGCTGGTTTTCCGCGAAATCTATTTCAGTAGAGCGTATGATGTCGATGGCCCGAGGTAGAGCACTCAATGGGCTAGGGTGGCCCCATTTCGCCTTACCAACCCCAGGGAAACTCCGAATACACTTAAGCGGAAATGAAAGAGTAGGGTGAGGGAACAAGCAACGGCTTCTAACGCTACAGACGCTCAGGAAGGGGTGCTCCTAGGTGTGTGTAGGGGTTGTGTTTGTTCGCGAGAAAAGATTTCTCGTAAAGTAAGTTTGGGGGGTGTGGACACACTTGCGCGAATTCGGGTAACGGCTACAAGGGAGAAATGAGATCACTTCCCAGTAAGATAAATCAATTGCTTATAAGGATACTAAAAAAGACTGTCTCTTGTTCTTCCTTTGGTACCCTAACTCATATTCTAACTCGCTCCGGATCCTATTTGTGCAGTGCCGGACCAAAGACTCTCTTCAGGACGATGCCAATTTCTTTTTTCATTCAAGAAGTTTGACCCCCTTTTATTTTTTTTGGTTTTCTTGATTTGAAATTGATTTGGATTTTTTTGAGGGAGACTTAGATGAATATGAATTTTGAATTTGTCTCACAACCGAGAAAAATTCGGGGATTTACCGTATAAAACGAAGCGATTCTGGTAAATAGATCTCTTCTATTGTTATTTTTTTGGCGAGTTCGGCCAGGAGAGGCCAGGATCGCTTGGTAAGCAAGCAATCCGTTAAACGGCGCCAACCCCCCATTCCCATCAATATCGTCAATCATATCAAGATAAACATCGTCTTCTTCGTCAATATTGCCACCACTATAAAAATCATTATCAGAATCACTATCAGAATCCAAATCATTATCAAAATCATCAAGGTGAAAGATTCGGAAAAGGATTCCTCTATGAACGGGCTGAGAGATCCGGCATAACCACTCACGAAAGCTTCTTTAATCATCTTTGCAGACTTGCGCCAGTTGTCCTTTAACAATCCTTAATAGTAGATCCAATTCCGGCATCATGTAGAACTAAGATCCCAAGTACTAATCAACGAAGCCCCGAAAACAAACCTCTTTGCAAGGCGGAATGCTCTCGAAACCAATTCACTTGAGTGAGACAGAGGAGAGTGGAATTTCGTGTGTTAGGGGTGAAATCCTGAGATCTACGAAGGAACGCCAAAAGCGAAGGCAGCTCTCTGGGTCCCTACCGACGCAACACTTTGGGGTGAACACCCATCCGAACAAGTAGGGTCAATAGTTCAGCATTTAGGCCGTAACATACATTTAGCAACAAAAAAATCTTTCACTCAACATTTTCTGCTCGCTACGCCCCTGTGAAACTGTCCCAAGCCAAAATTGCTTGATCTGACCGAACTAAGCTTATAAAAGTCTATTTGTGCAGTCCTAAATGAATAAGCCGCAGCCCGCCTTTCGACCCCTGGATCCTCCGAAAAGCAAGGTTGTTTGGCAGAACAAGGAAGCCGGATAAAACTTCGTTAGAAACGGGGGAGCTAGCCCACGAGGTTTGAGCTTCCAACAAGCGGTTAAAATCCTATTATATCTGACCCCGTTGTTCTTTTAAAGTCCAAAAATTGACCTCCGGCAAAGGAACTTCTGCCAAAAGCGAAAGCATTTTTGCCGCCTGGGGAGTACGGTCGCAAGACCGAAACTCAAAGGAATTGACGGGGGCCTGCACAAGCGGTGGAGCCAAAGAAACAGTCTCCTAACCTTCTGGAAATTGAAATCAACAAGTCCGGTGAGGCCTAGGGAGAGCCGCGAGAGTATATAATCTGTGGAAAGTCGCGCTGGCAACCCCATTCGTGAGTGAAGAGAATTGTCTAAATCTCTCTCAAATGAGCAGTTCCTAAGGTTGTTCCCTCTCCCCGCCGTATATGCTTCAATTCCGGAGTAGTAGATCGGGCGGTCTTTTATGCAGTGGCAATTCTATATTACACTTGGCGTGCGAGGAATGGGGCTGTGTGGGACGCATGTTTGCCCAGACCTCAGAAGGTAATTGCGATGGCGTCTTCAGCTGTACACTCTTGGAAAATTGCCCACCCGACACATGCACAGTCGCGGGTAAATGCGGCCGTGCTGGAGCAAGCAGACGGCCCAATCACACGGCAGCAAAACGCCGTGGAGCTCACTGCCCAAACGCCAGAATCTGGGCTGCCTATGAGCAGCAATATAATGCACCCACACGGACACCAACAACAACTAAATCTGCCGCATGTGACTCCCCTAATGTGCTACTTCGACGCGGCATACGACCCACGAACGAACAAGGCAGCAGCAGGTGCAATTATTCTAGATGCGCAAGGAGGATATATTGCCGCAATGACCACCCCTATGTCAGAATGTTTTACACCTTTAATGGCGGAGACCCTAGCGTGCAAGGAAGTTTTGTCATGGTTGAGGAATCGCGGTATAAACTCTATCCAGCTCTTCACAGATTGTTCAGTACTACAGCAATATCTATCATCTACGACTCGATCACCACGGTCTTACCTGGGCTATGCTATTGATAGCTGCAGGGCTAGTATATTGGCTTTTGAGAACTGTTTAATTCGATATATTCCTAGATTAGATAATTATTTAGCTCATACTCTAGCATCTATTGCATCTACTCAGACGACAGTTATGTATGCGGACTCAAGTCCACCAGCTGCTATTTCAGCATATTTTGAATAAATGCCGCACAGGCTCCTTTCAAAAAATAAGTCAATTATAAATGTCACTCTTCAATTTTAAGTGGTATAAATATTGCTCCTGAATTGTCCGAAGGTATATACTGCCTCTCTCTAAACGGAACTGTTATTACTCTTTTATATGGCACCTTTTACTAAGGTTAAATTGATAACTCTCCTTTTTCACTTTTTTTTTTGTTGGCAACCCAAATTAAACCACTGTGAAAACTGGTATTTGCATATACCATATGCCTACAAAGCGATTCAATAAATTGGTTGGGCTGAAGAATCCCAACTCAAAGATTCCACCTGAAGAAAAAATGGTTTCACCATCTTTAAGGAACTGTGTGGAGGTAATGGCATCCCTCGCAAAACAAATCTACTTAATTGAAACATGTAAAAAAAATTTGAACCAAGTCGATTTTACAAAAAATAATAAAATATATATATTCACATGAATATATATATATATATATATATATATATATATATATATATATATATATATATATATATATATATATATATATATATATATATATATAAACCAAAATGGAATTTATAATCCTTCAGATTATAATTCCAACCAACAAGAAATGAGTAAGGATTTATTGCTTAAAAGCATAATCTCGTGAACCGAAAGAAGAGAAGAAGAAGAAGAAGAAGAGTGGTTAGTACGAGCCGATCGACACACTCTTTCCTTAAAACTTTATTTGCTAACTCCCAAAAGTGCTAGCAGCATTGTAGCCTAAGTTTCCCAAGATAAAACGTACTACGGTTAACGTTTGAGCACCCAAACGAAGAACCCGGCGACTAGAGCACGAGCAGAACACAGTCGACAAGAAAAAGTAGGAGCAAAGTTTTGAGAGAAGAAAATATGTTGTGTGTTGTGTCGATCTCTTGTTCACAAAAAACTGCTGCCCCTCTTACCCCTTCTTATATAGGGATGAAGGAATGAATAGCATTCATTATGGCCATTAAACCAGCCTTGTAACACCTGAAACAACCAGTCACTAAATGAGATTAAATTCAAATTTTAAAAATTAAAATTAATAGACAATTAATTTCGTAATTGATGAATTTAATCTACAATTACTGTTGACAAACCTGATTCGCCCTCTTCTGTGTTACTTTCGGCCTCAAGGCCGAAACACACCATGATCTCGGTCAAGACCAACTTTTCGGCCTCAAAGACCGAAACTCACTATGGTTTCGACCAAGGCCAACTTTCGACCTTACACCATGGTCTCGCCCTGGCCGAGCCATGGCAGCTCGATTCGTTTGGCATAAGGTATACCATTTGCATAAGCTAGCAGTAAATGATTATGAAATCAAATAAATTCAAATATGTTTCTGATCTTGACTTAAATGATGGGACATTTCTCCTCACTTCAACATACAATTTGACATTTAAAAAAAAAATAAAAAAATAAAAACATTGTTTTTTTTTTTTTTATGGGGATTAAGATAGTAGTATATTTGTATTCGTGTTTTATATATGTAACTAGCATTTTGTACGCACCATGCGCAAAAATTCATGTCCAATATTAAAATAGTGATAAATACAAATAATTAAAAATTATAATTTGAATTATATATACACAAATAATATATGTATTTTGTACACATACATATATAATTTATCATTGATAGAAATTTAATTAAAATATAATTAAGTATTAAATTAATATATAATGATTTTAATAAAATGATAATTAAAAGATAGGAAAATGATATGATGGATATAGGTGTATAGTAATAATGATGTGTTATTAATGTTAGAATTAAAAAACTAACGGTGTTATAACGGTGTAAGGGTAGTTTTGTCTAATAACATAAGACTGTACAACATTTAAAGTAAAATTCACACATTTATTTGCATAAAAAAAAGAGGGACAAAAATCAAGGATATAACTTTAATTGAGGCTTATTATGTTTTTAGATATGTGTTTATATTTGAATTTCATTTTATAATTAAAGTTTAAATTATATATATTTGGAATAAGGGTCAAATAGGCCATCGAACTGCACACGAGAATGCAATTAGGCCACTGAACCCAAAAAACCTACAATTAGGTCCCTAAACTAACCATTTTCATTCAATTTGTCAATTTTGCAGGTTTCTTAAGTTTCTAAAAGGTTAATTACCCATCCACCTAGGATGCATATGTGACATTTTTTTAAAATTATTTATTTTTAAATTAGTTTTTTAATATTTAATAAATAAAAACTAAAATAATTTGTTTTTTAAATAAAATAATTTGTTAATTTGTTACAATAATTTGTTAAAACTAAAATAATTTGTTAAAATTCGCAAATCACCAATACAAATTAATTATTTTAAAATTCAAAAATTACCAATGACGATAGTTTTGATTAAATAATTTGTTGATTTTTTTATTTCTTTACTGATTATTCTTTATTGCTAATAATACTAATACTGCTTCTTTTTTAAAAAACAATAAATTATATTACTGTTAATACTAATAGTTATGGTTTTGTTTAATAATATGATACATTTACTAATAGTATTACTGCTTTCTAATATATTGCTTTTACTGCTTTATTTCCCTTTGTAATATGCTTTGGCCAGGAACAAATAAAAAAATCAACAAATTATTTAATAGAAACTATCGTGATTTGGTG